TTTTTTTTTTTTTTTTAACATAGCATTTCTCAAACTTTATCTTCCATCAGAATCATCTGGAGAGCTTGGCCTAGATGCTGTCCCTTAGCATGGTTGGCACTCTACCATTTGAGCCACAGCTCTACTCCTGGCCTTTTGGTGCTTAATTGGAGATTCAGGGACTTTCCTGCTCTGTCTGGCTTCAAACCAAAATTCTCAGATCTCAGCATCCTGAGTAGCTAAGGATTATAGATATGAGAGCCACCAGCACTTGGCTTCATAGTTTTATTTTATCTTATTTTTTTGTGCCAGTCCTGGGGCTTGAACTCAGGGCTTAGGCTCAGTCCCTGAACTTCTTTTGCTGAAGGCTTGAGCTACAGTTTTACTTGAGCTTTTTTGGAATAGTTTACTAGGAAATGATTCTCACAGACTTTCCTATCCAGACTAGTTTTGAATCTTAATCCTCCTACTCAGCCTCCTAAGTAGCTAGGAGTATAGGTATGAGACCAGCTCCAATAAAGTTTTAGGTACAGTAATCTGGGCAGACCAGGTATTTTTCTTGGTATTAGGAAAAGACCCCAAAGCTTTCTACATGCAAAGCACATACCCCTAAAGCCCAGAGTTGTGCACTTTTAACCAATTCCAAGGTGATATTAAAACTTACTGAAGTGTCTGGGGCAGAACAGAATGAACTCTTACTGTTTTGTGAAGAGTGGACTGAGATTATTTTGAACTTTATTGATTCCATCTTCTTTCTGCATGGTGGAGTGCTATCTCCCAGCCTTTAACATTGCTTACCTCAGGGGTTGAGGCAATAGGTGATTTTTCTCTAATAAGTATGTGTTAAATCAGAACACAACTCATTTTTTTTTTTTTTGTAGGTTATGGGGCTTGAACTCTGGGCCTGAGCGCTGTCCCTCAGCTCTTCAGCTCAAGGCGAGGCTCTATCACTTGAGCTACAGCGCCACTTCGGGTTTTCTTTTTTTTTTTTAATTTATATGAAACATTTATAATCTTTATGAAGAGATCAGTATAAGCTACCTAATTTTCTTTTTTTTAATTTTATTTTATTTTATTTGTGAACATACTGTACAGAGGGGTTACAATTGCATGGGCAGGATAATGCGTGCATTTCTTACCAAGCATTGCAGCCTCCTCCTTTGTTTATCCTTCCCATCCCTTCCCAGCCTCCCCCCTCCCCACACTTCCGGTTTTCTGGTGGTTTATTGGAGATAGGAGTCTCACGGTCTCTCCTGCCCTGCCCGGGCTGGCTTTGAACCGCGATCCTCAGATCTCAGCCTCCTGAGTAGCTAGGATTACAGGCGTGAGCCACCAGCGCCCGGCCACAACTCATTTTTTAAATTGTTATTATAAAGGTGACATATAGAGGGGTTTCTGTTTCATAAGTCAGGTAATGAGCACGTTTCTTTTTGGACAGTGTCACCCCTTCCCTCATTCTCACCTAGTTTTTCCCTCCAGTCCCCACCCACAAGTTGTACAATTCATTTTCAATGTAGACTATACTGAGTACCACTACTTCACTTTTCACCCTTTGTACCTCCATTTCTGTGTCCCCCCCCACACTTCCCCTTCCAAAGACAAGTGAACAAATAAGACAAAAAAAACCAAACCTGGATGATGATCATGATCATGATGGTTTTGGTCAGTTGTGGGACTTAATCCCAGGTCCTGGATGCTTTTCTGAGCTTTTTCATGCAAGACTAGCTAGCACTCTACCACTTTAAGCCATAGCCACCAGTTTTCTGGTGGTTAATTGAGATAAAAGTCTCATGGACTTTCCTGTCTAGGCTGGCTTTGAACTGCTGTCCTCAGATCTCAGCCTCCTAAGTAGCTGGGATTATAGGTATGAGTCTCTGGCTCCTGACTTAAATATTATATGATCAGATGCACGTAAGCATTGTGTTCCTCCCCTAAGAGTATCCTCCTTTGGTCTCACTGTGTATGAATGCCTGCAGTCCTCTATATTTTATCATGTCCCAGTGTATATTAGATCTGGCTTCTGCATATGAGAGAAAACGTGCCATTTGTCTCTGAGTTTGGCTTACCACGCTTAACATGATTTATTCTAGGTCCATCCATTTTATATCCTGCAAAATGACTAATGGCTTTATAACATTCCATTGTGTATAGCAACATCTTTTGGATCTGTTCATTTATTGTAGGATATCCAGGTTGTTTACATAACTTGGCTATTGTGAATAGTGCAGCAATCAACATGGGTGTGTAAGTGTCTTTATTGTAGCTTGACTTGTGATGTTGTGAGTAATGCCCAGAAGTAGTATGGCTGGGTAGTAGGGTAGATGTATGTTTAGATTTTTTTTTTTTTTGTCAGTTGTGAAGCTTGAACTCAAGGCCTGGGCACTGTCCCTGAGCTTTTTTGCTCAAGGCCAGTGCTCTACCACTTTGAGCCACAGTTCTACTTCAGGGTTTTGAGTGGTTAATTGGAGATAAGAGTCTCACTGAGATTTCTGCCCAGGCAGCTTCGAATTGTGATACTCAGAACTCAGCCTCCTTGGTAGCTAGGATTACAAGCATGAGTCACCCAGGCCTGACCTATGTTTAGATTTCTGAGAAACTGCCAGAGTTTTGTCAAGAATGGTTGCACTAGTTTACATTCCCACCAAAAGTGCATAGTGTTACATTTTCCCCACATTCTTGCCAGTATTTGTTGTTGTTCAAATTCATGATGTTGACCAATCTAACTGGGGTGAGATAGAATCTCAGAGTTGTTTTGATTTGCATTTCCTTTATGGCCAGGGATGTTGAGCATTTCCTCATATGTTTCTCTGCTCTTCTTACCTCTTCTGGGCTGGGAATTTGGCCTAGTAGTAGAGTGCTTGCCTAGAATGCATGAAGCCCTGCGTTTGATTCCTCAGTACCATATACACAGAAAAAGCTGGAAATGGCATTGTGGCTCAAGTGGAAGAGTGCTATCCTTGAGCTGAAGAGCTGAGGGACAGTGCCCAGGCCCAGAGTTCAGGCCCCATGACCAGACCCCCCCCAAAAAAAAAAAAGCGTCATGGACTTTTCTGTCTGGGCTGCCTTTGAATCGTGATCCTCAGATCTCTCTCTGCCTCCTGAGTAGGTAAGTTGACAGGTATGAGCCATTGGCACCGGGCTAGTTTTTTCATTCCAATCCCAAAATGATGATGGAGGGGCTGGAAAGGTGGCTCAGTGGTAGAGCGCTTGCCTTGCATGCATGAGGCCCTGGGTTCAATTCCTCAGCACCACATAAGCAAAAAGAAAAAAGCCGGAAGTGGCGCTGTGGCTCAAGTGGTAGAGCGCTAGCCTTGAGCTGAAGAGCTGAGGGACAGCGCCCAGGCCCAGAGTTCAGGCCCCACGACCGGACCCCAAAAAAAAAAATCAAAAAAAAAAAAACCAAAATGATGGTGGAATTTTTATTCTACTCATTCACCAAGTACAGGTGACATGGTTCATGACACATTCCATCACCAACTTCCCATCTTTCTGTTTTCTTGTTACTGTGCTTTCCTTCCTGTCCCACACCTGATGCTGAATCTATGTGCTGTTGGTGAAGTTACAGACCATCAGAGTTTTCCTGCCATAAGCTGTAGTTTTTTCAAATTGCTCTCCCAGGATACAAGTAAATTTTGTTGTTTTCAAAATTTTATTTTATTTATTTATTTATTTTGTGGGTTGTGGGTCCTGAACTCTGGGCCTGGGCACTGTCCCTCAGCTCAAGGCTTGATCTCTACCATTTGAACCACAATACCACTTCCGGCTTTTTCTACCACTTGAGCCACAGTGCCATTTCCAGTTTTCTGGTGGTTAATTGGAGATAAGAGTCTCACAGAGGGGCTAGGAAGGTGGCTTAGTGGTAGAATGCTTGCCTTGCATGCATGAAGCCCTGGGCTCGATTTCTCAGCACCACATAAGCAGAAAAAAGGTGCTAATGGCTTAAGTGGTAGAGCACTAGCCTTGAGCTGAAGAGCTAAGGGACAGTGCCCAGGCCCAGAATTCAAGCCCCACAACTGACCAAAAAAAAAAGAGTCTCATGGCCTTTCCTGCCCAGGCTGCCTTTGAACCACAATCCTCAGCTCTCAACCTCCTGAGTAGCTAGGATTACAGGCGTGAGCCACCAGCGGCTTCTTTTTTTTTTTTTTTTTTTTGGTCAGTCCTGGAGTTGAACTCAGAGCCTGGGCACTGTCCCTGAGCTTCTTGCTCAAGACTAGCACTACACCATTTGAGTCAGCATCACTTCTGGCTTTTTCTGTTTATCTGGTACTGAGGAATCGAACCCAGGGCTTTGTGCATGCTAGGCAAGCACTCTACCACTTTGTCACATTCCCAACCCCTCAATGGTACCTCCTAAAGGATCTTCTGTTATGATTTAATTCTTCTCCAAACAACCTTTGGTTCATGCCAAAGCTTCAATTTCTTGTTTTCTTTTTCTTTTTTCTTTTTTTGTCAGTCATAGAGCTTGAACTCTGGGCCTGGGCGCTGTCCCTCAGCTCTTCAGCTCAAGGCTAGGGCTCTACCACTTGAGCCACAGCACCACTTCTGGCTTTCTCTGTTTTTGTGGTGCTAAGGAATCAAACCCAGGGCCTCATGTATATGCAAGGCAATCACTCTACCACTGAGCCACCTTCACAGCCCCAATTTCTTGTTTTCTAACTAATCTCTTAGACTCCAAATTTTTACTCTTTTCTCCTTACAAAATCCAGAGTAATTTTTCAAAAAGCCAAATGTTTTGTCAGGATTTTTTCTTGCCAGTTCTGGGGCTTGAACTCAGGGCCTGGGCACTATTCCTGAGTCTCTCTGTGCTCAAGGCTAGTGCTCTACCACTTGAGCCACAGCGCTACTTTTGGCTTTTTCTGCTTATGTGGTACTGAGGAATCGAACCCAGGGCTTCAGGCATGCTAAGCAAGCACTCTACCACTAAACTACATTCACAGCCCCTTGTCAGTTTTGAACTTAAAACCTTCCGTAGATTGAGATACCTCAATTACAAATGTAGATGAGCATGGTGTTTTAAACCTGTAATCCCAGAGTTAGAAAGGTTGATATAGGAGGATTACCAGCTTGAGGGACGGTAAGGCCACATAGTGAGACCCTGTCTCCAAAAATAAAATTTAAAAACATACATATACATATATATATGATAAATTAATCCTACATATATATGATTACTTAAAATATAACCAGGTGCCAATAGCTCATTGCTACAATCTTAACTACTAAGGAAACTGAGACTTGAGAATAGGTTCAAAGCCAGCCCAGGTGAGAAAGTCTATGAGACTATTTCCAGTTAATCAGCAAAAATGTGGAAGTAAAGCTGTGGTCCAAGTGGTAAAGCAGCTGCCTTGAGGAAAAAAAAAAGGGAAAGAGGTCCAGAATTCAAGCCCCAATACCTGCAGACAAACACAAACTTGCACACACACAAAAGCACGCAAACAAATTCCTTCTATAATCATGGGTTGGGCTTGAACTGAAGGATTGAATCTGATCAAAATATATTCTATTCATTTATATAAATATCAAAGTTAAATCCTTTGTGTAATATACCCAGAGAGAACAAGAGAGAGAATAGCACCTGAGCCAAACAAAATGGTTTATTATAGCTCCAAGTGTGAAGCATATCACTTGGGAACTTCTTAGAAATGCAGAATTTCAGTCTCCTCTCCAGACTGACAAAACCAGAACCTTCATTTAATTTGTTTTGTTTGTTTATTTTTTCAGTCGTGGGACCTGAACTCAGTGCCTGGGCACTGCTTTTGAGCTTTTACTGCTTAAGACTAACACTCTACTTTGAGGCACAGCCCCACTTTTGGTTTCCTGATGGTGATAAAAGTCTCATGGATTTCCTGCCCAGGCTGGCTTTGAACTGCAGTCCTCAGATCACAGACTCCTGAGTTGCTAGGATTATAGGTATGAGCCACGAGCACCTGGCTACCAGAACCTACATTTTAACAAGGCTTGCAGATTACTCAGGCCCAGACACGTTTAGGAAGCATCTTGTTTGTAAACCCCCAGAGGACCAATCCCTGGCAGACCCTTCACTTTCACTGGCCCTCTGATTTCAAGCTACTGGGAGTGTTTGTGGGTGGCTAAAAACTTCAGCCATCCTTTCAGATACAAACCCTCGGCAACACTTAAAACTCTCTTTTAGCTGGGGGAGCCCCAGCGGCTCACATCCTCATGTCTCAGCGGCTGAGATCTGAGGATGGCAGTTCAAAGACAGCCCCGGCAGCAAAGTCAATGAAACTCTCATCAAGTCCTGTATCTGCAAAAATAAAACAAAAACAAACAGCTCCCACGTCTCTGAGGCTCTTGAGTCTTCATTCAGCAAACATTTATTGGGCGCCTGCTGAACGCCTGGCCAGGTCAAGGTCAAGCCCAGGACCCGCCCGCCCGCCCGGTCGGCGCTGCGTGCGCCGCACTCGGGGATTTATGATTTCCGCGCGGCTTTTCCACACATTACGGCGCCGCTCGGGCCCCGCGCCCCCGCCGGCCGGGACCCGCGGGCTCCGCTCCGCTCCGCACCGGCGGCGGCGGAGACGGGGAGGACCCCGGACTCGGACCCGGCGTCCCGGTCCATTTTGGCTCGGCCCCCATGGAAGGGACCTTGGAGCCCCAGACGCCTGACCTGCGGGACGTGGAGGGCAAGGTGGGCAGGAAGACCCCGGAGGGGCTGCTCCGCGGGCTGCGGGGCGAATGCGAGCCGGGGCCCCGCGGCTCCCCGCCGCCCTCGGGGGCGCCGGGCCCCGACACCGGCCTGGGCGACAAGATCACGGCCCTGAGGATGGAGCTGGTGAGTGTGGGTGTCCCGGGCCGAGACCACCCCCCCCAAGCAGGCAGGGTGTCCAAGACCCCCAGACTCCACAGGACCCCCAAAAAACCCCGCCCATAGACCTGGGGTGCAAGGGGCGTGACGCCCGGCAATTGTCCCTCGAGGCTGAGCGAAGGGTTGAGGGGTCCTGGGCAAGTTTTTCCTACCGGATCCCGCGGAGGAGCGAGGCGGGCGCGGCCAAGTGCGGGGAACCCCCCCCCGCCGCCCCCCGAGCCACCCAGGCCTCCTCCAAACCGTGCCCCGGGCACGGTCATCACAGGATTTGAGTGGGGGCCGACGTGCTGGGGTTGGGGCTCCGAGGTCAGCTCCCTTTCCTCCCCGCGCCCCGCCCGCCCCGCCCCCACACTCCAAATACTTGGAATGTCGAGGCCCGGGGCCGGGGCAGGAAAACAGAGAGGCTGCGCCCTCCTCGGTGTTGAACCTGCCCTGGGTGGCAGCCGCCTCCGGGGGACCTCCCAACATACTATTTGGATCTTAGCTGTCACTTTTTGGGGAGATGAGGATGAAACAGCAGCCCCCACCCCCTTCCCTGAAACTGTTGGTCTAGATTCAGAGCCAAAAGGCCAGCTGGGGCCCAGGCGAGGCTCCCCAGGGCCCTGGTTCCCATGAAAGGGGTGATTTACACCTGCCACCCTTTATCGGCAGCCAGTTCTGAGGAATTGGCAGCATCTTCTTGGCTCAGGAACTAGGAGCCCACAGTGAGTATGGCTGTTATACGTCTTCCTGGAGTCCCACTGTGTGCCCAGCACTGTGCCAAGCTGGTCTGGAAGTGAGTGAGAAGAGGAAGGAGGTCATGGCTGAGGCCCAGCCCAGCCCAGCCCAGGGCTTTTACTGGCTTGGAGGGGAGGCCCAGAGCCTCCTGGGGCTGAGTAATCAGGAAGGCTCCCTGGGGCAGGACTTGAATGCCAAATGTGCACTGGCCTGGAAGGTTAGAGGCCAGTGCCAACCCTCCAGAGCAAGGATATGACTGTAGCCACCTCAGAAAGGGCTTGATTTTTGCTTCATTATATCAGCTTTATAGCTCAAGAACTTACCTAGTCTACCCTGTTTAGAAACCATATAGATATTTTTTGAGATAGTCTTACTATGGAAGTTAGGCCAGTCTCCAACTCATAATTCTCTTGTCCCAGCTTCCAAGAGCTGGGATTAACAGGTGTGTGTCACCACCATGAAAACTTTTATTGAGCACATATGCCAGGCAGCATGCTGAACACTTTTTTTTTTTTTCCTGTGCTGGGTTTTAAACTCAGGGTCTTCCACATGCTAGGCAAATACTATAACTGAACTTTGTCCTACAGACCTACATGACATTCTGTTAATCCTTACAGCAACCCTAATAGAAAAGTGATAAAGAAATTAAGGCACTGAGGAGTTAAGTAATTGCTTGTTATTCAGAAGGTGAAAGGCAAAGGCAGGATTTGAAGCCAGATCATTTGACTACATTTTACTTTTTTTTTTTCTTTTTTTTATCAGTCATAGGGCTTGAACTCTGGGCCTGGGTGCTGTCCCTGAGTTCTTCAGCTCAAGGCGAGAGCTCTACCAATTGGGACACAGCACTACTTCTGGTTTGCTGGTGGTTAATTGGAAATAAGAGTCTCACCAAGGGCTGGGAATGTGGCTTAGTGGTAGAGTACTTGCCTAGCATGCATGAAGCACTGGGTTCGATTCTTCAGTACCACAGAAAAAGTCAGAAGTGGTGCTGTGACTCAAGTAATAGAGTGTTAACCTTGAGCAACAGAAGCTCAGGGACATGTGCTGGGAAGGTGGCTCAGTGGTAGAGCGCTTGCCTTGCATGCCTGAGGCCCTGGGTTCGATTCCTCAGCACCACATAAGCAAAAAGAAAAAAAGCCAGAAGTGGCGCTGTGGCTCAAGTGGTAGAACACTATCCTTGAGCTGAAGAGCTGAGGGACAGTGCCCAGGCCCAGAGTTCAGGCCCCATAACTGGACCCCCCCCCAAAAAAAAAGAAGCTCAGGGACAGTCCCGGACCCTGAGTTCAAGCCCCAGGACTGCCAAAAAGAAAAAAAAAAAAAACCAAAATATTTTTTGGGGCTGGGGGTTTAGCTCAGAGGAAGGGCGCCTGCCCGGCGCACGCAAGGCCCTGGGTTCAGTCCTCAGCCCTGGAAAAAAAATAAAATAAAGAGTCTCACCAACTTTTCTGCCCGGGCTGGCCTTGAACCTCAATCCTCAGATCTCAGCCTCCTGAATAGCTAGGATTACAGGTGAGCCACCGGTCACTTAATAGCCAGGTACTGTTCGCTCATTCTTGTAATCCTAGCTACTCAGGAGGTTGAGATCTGAGGATCATGGTTCAAAGCCAGCCCTGGCAGAAAAGTCCTCATGAGATTCTTATCTCCAATTAACCACTCAAAAACTGGAAGTGGCACTTGGGCTTAAAGTGGGAAACAAAGTGGTAGAGCTCACTAGCCTTGAGCAGAAAGAGCTCAGGGACAATGCCCAGCCCTGCATTCAAGACCCACAAAAGACCAAAAAAAATTTTTTTACTTTGTGCTAGTCACTTGGAACACATTTATGTCATTGAAATGAGAAAATGGTCATCATTTGTCCTATATCACAGATGAAACCAGCTGTTGCATGCTCAAAGACTTGCCTGTACTCACACTCTGGTCTTCACTATTCTGCCTTCATTGAGACTACTTACTGATAAACTTCAAAGGGGTTCATCTAACTTTTTATTTTGTTTCTGTATTCTAGACCCATCTGGCCTTAACCTAAGGCTGGCCAGGAAAAGCACAAGGGAGGGAGATTTTGGGGTCCAGTACAAGGAAAGATTCCCTACCCTAATCCTTTCTTTTTTTTCTCTTTAAGGCAGGCTGTCCCACTGGTTGCCCCTAAGAAGGACAAGGGGTGGGGCTAGAGATTTCCCTTGGAGCCACTGGAGGCAAGACAGGTTTAAGCCTTCTAAGGACTGTCCTCTTAGCCGGGTGCTGGTGGCTCACGCCTGTAATCCTTGCTACTCAGGAGGCTGAGATCTGAGGGTCGCGGTTCAAAGCCAGCCTGGGCAGGAGAGACTGTGAGACTCCTATCTCCAATAAACCACCACAAAACCGGAAGTGGCGCTGTAGCTCAAGTGGTAGAGCGCTTGCCTTGAGCTGAAGAGCTTAGGGACAGCGCCCAGGCCCAGAGTTCAAGCCCCACAACCGACCAAAAAAAAAAAAAAAGGACTGTCCTCTTGCTTTCTTCTAGTTGGAAGGAGAAGCCCTGTCCTTGAGACCAAGGTCAGCCGTACCTATAGGCCTCCTCTTCTGCTTTGCTCCCCTACAGAGACTGAGTGGAGAGCCAGACTCTGGAATATGTGGGAGTGGGAAACAATGCAACTTCCCCTCCTCAGTTTTCCACTAAATTTGCTGTTGCTATGACAACCCGCCTCCTCTGAGCTGTTTGCTGAACCAGCATTAGGCAAAGAGTGAGGAAAGGGCTTGAGTTCAAATCTTGTCTTTGCTACTAAAGCATTTTGTGATCTTGAGAGCAGTGCGCTTTTTCTCTCTCCTGGCTTCAGATTTTGTTTCTTTTTTTTTTTTTTGACCAAGATGATCTGTGAGAACTTTTCTAGTGATAGTACTCTAAGGATCTTGGTCCATTACCAGGGATCTAAAACTGTGATCTCCAGGCCTTTACTCTGAGCCTGATTTGTTCTGAACAGCGAGGGAGTCATGTCCAGCATCCCAGGGCTGGCCAGAGTCTGATAGGCATATTCTCATCGCTAAATCCCCAGAGATGAGAATTGGATTGGGATGCCTCTGAGACCGAGTCTCTCCTGAGATGTTTATTTCCTATTTTGTTTCCAAAGAGATGGTGTGGAATGAGTGTTTCTTTTTCTGGTGAGAAAACCTTGTTTTCTTCTATTCTGGGCTGTGATGCTGTCACAGTCACGGAATCCCACTGACACAGGATTATAGAATCTGGTGCTCAGATCCATTTCCTAGCAACACTTGACAGCCTAGCTCCCTAACCCCAGGGGAACCAAAAGAAAGGCCAGAAAATAAAGGCAAGAGATAATGTGATTTACATAACCCTAGGCAAAGCACAGAAAACAACAAGGCAGGACCTGTTCTCAGGGAACTTGTCCCCTAGGTTAGGGAAGGGACAGACTAACAACTCTAGTTCAAGATGAGAAGTACTGTGGGAACCAAAGACCTCCAACAAGTCTTTGAGTGTGGGTGTGGGGGGGGGAGGGGTGAAGTCCTGGGGCTTGAACTGAGAGCCTAGATACTGTCCCTAAGTTTCTTTCACTCAAGGCTAGCACTCTACTACTTGAGCCACAGCTCACTTCTGGCTTTTGGGGTAGTTTATTAGTCTCATGGGCTTTCCTGCCTGGGCTGATTTCAAACCTCCATCCTCAGATTTCAGCTTCTTACATAGCTAGATTTACAACTGTGAGCCACTGGCTCTTGGCTTTCTCTCTGGTATCTTTAAGTAGTTGTACAAATGGGTTTTAATTCAACATGTGTTTGAGTACAGTGCATCTTTATCAATGTTACCCCTTCCATCACCCCATCTCCCCATCTGGCCCATCCTACCCAGCCTCTCAAGTTACCATTTTCACGTATGTACATTGAATATGAAGAGTCTTAGCCAGGCACTGGTGGCTCACATTTGCAATCCTACGTACTCAGGAGACTGAGATCTAAGGATTAGGATATGAAACTAGGGGAGACAAATCCATGAGACTCTTAGCTCCAATGAACCAGCAAAAAAAACTATAAGTGGAGCTGTGGCTCAAATGGTAGACCTCCAGTCTTGGATAAAAAAGCTAAGGGATAATGCCCTGGCTCTGAATTCAAGCCCCAGTACTGACATTAAATAAATAAAATAATAAAAAATGATGTGTGGCAGTACTCATAGTCACAGAAATGTACTACAGGGGAAGCTAGAGAAAGGAACAGGAGGCATACAGTGATAGGCTTTTGAATGCCAGCCAGTAAATGTTTAGATTGATTTTATTCTCTTAAGAACAGAGTAAAGCTTGTAAAGGCCCTGGAGTACTGGACAGGTTCAGACTTGTGCTTGAAGAAGGTAACTCAGCGAGTCTAAGCTGTGGGGAGGGGGGAGGACAGGACCCTGGAGATTACCTTGTGAAGAAAACTTCCTTCCAGTACATACAGGAAGGCTGCTGTAAGGTGGGGGAAAGCCCTGAATCCCAGCCATTGAGATTCTTTGTGTCTCTCGCCATTGCTTCACTCAGTCTTGCTACAACCCTTATGAAGAGTAGAAAACCAGGTTAGCACCCTTTTTCAGTCTCAGCTCCCACCTGATTTTTTCCCTCCACTCATGAGCCTGGGTGCTATCCCTGAACTCTTCAGTTCAAGGCAAATGCTCTAATACTTGAGCCACAGTACCACTTCCAGTTTTCTGGTTAATTGGAGATAAGAATCTCACGGACTTGGGCTGGGAAGGTGGCTCAGTGGTAGAGTGCTTGCCTTGTATGCATGAGGTTCGATTCCTTTGTACCACATAAGAAAAAAGAAAAAAGCCGGAAGTGGCACTGTGGCTCAAGTGGTAGAGTGCTAGCCTTGAGCTGAAGAGCTGAGGGACAGCGCCCAGGCCCAGAGTTCAGGTCCCACAACCAGACCCCCCCCCCAAAAAAAAAAAAGAATCTCACAGACTTTTCTGCTCAGGCTGGCTTTGAACCAAGATCTTCAGATCCTAGCCTCCTGCGTAGCTAGGATTACAGGTGTGAGCCACCAGCGCCTGGATACCCTGGGCTTTATTCACTTAATAATGAATGGGGGCTTGACCTCAGAGCCTGGGCATTGTCCCTGAGCTGCTTTTGCTCAAGGCTAGCATTCTACCACTTGAGCCACAGTGGCACTTCTGGCTTTTTCTGCTTATATGGTACTGAGGAATCCAACCAAGGGCTTCATGCATGCAAGGCAAGTACTCTACCACTAAGCCACATTCCCAGCCTACCCTTGTTTTTGTTGTTGTAGTTGTTGGATGTGGGGCTTGAACTCTGGGCCTGGGTGCTGTCCCTCAGCTCTTCAGCTTTGAAGATCGGCTTTGAACCATGATCCTCAGATCTCAGCCTCCTGAGTAGCTGGGATTACAGGTGTGAGCCACAGGTGCACGGCTACCCTGGGTTTTAATACATAACATTTCCTAAGACCTTTCTGTGCTAAGGGTATAAAAGGCACAATTTTGCTGTTGCCTTCTGAGGGGAGTGATTTAGTCCTATTTTACAATTAAGGAAACTGAGTTAAGATAAAATAACACTGGCACTGGTGGCTCATGCCTATAATCCTAGCTACTCAGAAGGCTGAGAGATATGAGGATCCAGGTTGGAATCCATCCTAGGCAGGAAAGTCTGTGAGATTCTTTTTTTTTTTGTTCGTTGTTGGCTTGGGCGCTGCCCCTCAGCTCTTCAGCTCAAGGCAAGCACTCTACCACTTGAGCCACAGCGCCACTTCCAGTTTTCTGGTGGTTTTTTGAAGATAAGAGTCTCATGGACTTCCCTGCTGGCTTTGAACCACAAGTCTTAGCTCTCAACCTCCTGAGTAGCTAGGATTTTAGGTGTGAGCCACTGGTGCCTGGTTTCTAAGAGACTTATCTCCAGTTAAAGACTAAAAAGCCAAAGTAGAGCTGTGGCTGAAGTGGTATATTGCTAGCCTTGAGTAAAAAAGCTAAGGGACCATTTAGGAATGTGGCTTAGTATTAGAGTACTTGCCTAGCATGCATGAAGCCCTAGGTTCCTCAGTACACCTAAACAGAAAAAGTCAGAAGTGTGGCTTAAGTGATAGAGTGCTGGCCTTGAGCAAAAGAAGCTCAGGGACAGTGCCCAGACCCTGAGTTCAAAGTCCTGTACCAACACCAATACACACACACAAACACACACGCACAAGGTAAGATACCTACCCACAATCATATCATATATAGCTAACCAATAAAAAAGCTTATTTTTTTAAAATTTGGCAGTGTGGGCCTCAAACATGCTAAGCAGGTGCTCTGTTAATAAACAACATCGCCAACCCAAGCTGAAATTTTAAATAGCAGTCCATCTGCTTCTAAAGCCCACACTCCAAATCATTCTATTTCCATGCTTCTTAAAAGTAAAGCATGGTTCGATTACAAATGTGGGGCTCAAGAAACACAAGGGAAACCCAGGGCCTAGAACTTGGACTAAACTTCTATTTCCCACTCCCCCAGGCTTACCTGCGAGTCATCGATGTGAAAATCCTGCAGCAGCTGGTGACGTTGAATGAGGGTATCGAGGCCGTGCGCTGGCTGTTGGAGGAGCGGGGGATGTTGACCAGCCATTGCAGTAGCCTCACCAGCAGCCAGTATAGCCTGACAGGCGGGAGCCCAGGCCGCTCAAGGCGAGGCAGCTGGGACAGCCTGCCAGACACCAGTTCCACTGACCAGCTGGACAGTGTCTCTATTGGCAGCTTCTTGGACACCGTGGCCCCCAGAGAGCTGGATGAACAAGGTCCCCCTGGGGCTCCCTGTCCTGAGATGGACTGGGCAAAGGTCATACCCGGTGAAGAGAGGGCCAGGACTGAGGTGGACCTGACAGCCACCAAACTAGGGAGCTTGAGGGCTGTGTGGAAGCCCTCAGGGGAGGGGTTCGCAGGTGGACCACTGGAACCACCAGAGGATGATTGCACTGATCTGGGTTTTGAGGCCCACTGGTACTGGGGACAGGGCCAGGATGATGTGACCTTCTTATAACAACTTTATCCTCATCTGTCATCCCTAGGCCTTGGTCTTCCACAAAAATGTCCTTTAATGTGGGATGAAGATAGGTTGCCCTGTGATCGATTACCATGGGAATTCTACCATTTCTTTGGTCCCTAGGGAGTCTCGGCCTTTATCTCTTAATCATTGAATACCCAGAACGATTTCCATAGAGACACTGAGGCTTAACCTGTGGCTCTTGGTGGGAGGGTATCTCCACACCCCTCTCCCAAGGAGGTAAGGATTTAAGGAATTTAGGACCCCCCCCAGGGTATTGCCAATGAAGAAATGAGGGTGAATGATCACCACATTCAAAGCCCAGGAGGAGCCTTGGCTTCCTCCTAACCAAGATGGAGGATTGAAGAGGGACTTGGCATTCAGGACAACTTCCATGGATTGGAACTCCTTTAAAGTCTTTGGAGTTGTAGGCCCATACCTTCCTAGTCACCGAGTGATGTCATTTCCTGCCAGGATGGACTACTGCTTCCTCAATTGGGTATCTGGATGGGATATGATAGGTCAGTTATAGAGGGGTGTGAGTTCCTGCCAAGACCACATCACCCAAAGTCTGTACCATTACTTCTTGTGAAGTATCACCCCTCTTGGCAGATTAGTTCCATACTGGAAGGTTTCCGTGCTGCTTTGCAGCACATTCTTACTTTTTAAAGAGTGTTCCTATTTTTCCCGGGTCTTGCTTCCTTATCCTCGTGTTTTTAGGAAGTGAAACTGTCAGAGGCTTCCAAGTTTCTTTTTTTTTTGGGAGGGAGGGGTCCGGTCCTGGGGCCTGAACTCTGGGCCTGGGCGCTGTCCCTCAACTCTTCAACTCAAGGCTAGCACTCTACCACTTGAGTCACAGCGCCACTTCCGGCTTTTTTCTTTTTTCTTATGTGGTGCTGAGGAATTGAACCCAGGGCCTCAGGCATGCAAGGCAATTGCTCTACCACTGAGCCACCTTCCCAGCCTCTCTCTCTCTTTTTTTTTTGGTCAGTCATGGGGCTTGAACTCTGGGCCTGGGCGCTGTCCCTCAGCTCTTCAGCTCAAGGCAAGTGCTCTACCACTTGAGCCACAGTGCCACTTCCGGTTTTCTAGTGGTTTATTGGAGATAAGAGTCTCAGGGACTTTCCTGCCCGGTCTGGCTTTGAACCTCGATCCTCAGATCTCAGCCTCCTGAATAGATAGGATTACAGGCGTGAGCCACCAGCACCCGGCCCAAGTTTCTTAAGTATACTTGGCTCACTCTACCACAGGCCTGGCTTCCCCTGTCCTGGGTGCCCCCCCCACATTGCTGTTCCCTGACTCAATATCTGCCTATGGGGATTTCTAGTTTCTCTGTCACCACACCTGGTTAATTGCTTCTCTAGGCATCATGTCTTCTTACCCACTGTTGTGGGGAGCTGGGGAGGGAACTCCTGGAGATCAGCTGGTACACCAGAACCTTGGCTGGTGGGAGCTATTGTCTTTTCTGAGTCCTGTCCCCACCCCGTCCCGCCTTTCACCACTTGGTCATGAGGATGCCTGCCAGAGGCTGGGATACAAGGAATCCCCTTGTCCAAGCTACAATGTGGGGGCATGGCAGGAAAAGACAGAGGCTCTTTGGTCCCTGGGCCTTATCCTAGGAGTGGGGGGGAGGCACAAGGGAAAGCCAGTCTTCCTTCCTGCCTTCCTGCCTTCCTTCCTTCCTTCCTTTTCTCCCCTCCCTCTTCTTTTCTCTGAGACCTGAGAAGGGAGCAGAAGAAGACAGGTTCTAGAGCTGTGGCCCAGGCTCCTAGCTAATTACAGCAAAGAAGAAACTCTGGGAATCTGCCAGCCAGGCTCAGGGAGAGAACCAGACCAGAGAGGGGTGGGTACAGGGGAAGAGAGCAGTGGCTGATGACAATGAATTCTTGAAGATTAACTCTTTGAACTCTAGGATACTGCCTCATGCATTGGCTCTTGTCTCTCATGGGCCCTGAAATTAGATTATTGGAGGGAAAGAAGGAGGGGAAAAGGGTGATCTTTGGCTACTAGGTGTTGCCCACCTGTTCTCTAAATCCTGGAGTAATTCTTGTCATTTCTCTGCCTTTCAGTCCATGTTAGGGATGGAAAGGAAGCCAAGTTCATTGTGAGTTTTACCTCCCCTGAATTCAAGTGTTTTGCAACTCTACCCAATTTTTCAGCAATAAGTTCAGCTCATGGCTCTCCACTAAAAACCCTCCCACCTGCCATTTTCCCTTAAAGTGATTACAGTCTCTTCCAGCATCTTCTCTGCTACTACTGAACCTCTCCTTACCTCTCCTCATGGTTCTGGGGCTCCTGACTTCCTCTCAGCCTGGGATTTCCAATACTGTATTCCAATCCCTACTCTAAACATTTTGTAGTGTGCCCTTGGTTAACCATCTACCTTCCTCTCGTCTCTGAGACATCATTATATGTTCTTTTTCTCTTTTTTTTTCTGATTAAAAAAAACTACTATTTAAGCTGGCCTGCCTTGGCCTCGGAGTGCTGAGACATTCATATTCTTTAAAAAAAATAATAACAGGAGAGGAAATGAGAAAAAGAAACATTTCCTGCTTCCCATACAGGACTCCGTCATAATCCTTTTTCAAACTTGCTTCTTTATGTAATCTATAAACTTCTGAGTTGAAGTATTTGTCTGCCCCCTTGTGGCCAATGTGCAATATTGCCAGAGTTTCTGGATTGAGCCTCCAAATTTAGGGTAGCCTTCCAGTCCTGAGTGCGCAGACAGCTAGAGAGGGCATAGATTTGTCTTGTGCCACCCATTGTTAAGCTAACAATGCACAGTTCAGAGGACCAGGTACCTGTCATATACCCATGGCTCCATTACTTGGCCACACTGTTCCCAGCCAGTAATTAAAAACAAAGCCCTAGCTAGGTGCTGGTGGCTCCTGTAATCCTAGCTATTCAGGAGGCTGAGCTCTGAGGATTGCAGTTCAAAGCCAGCATGGGCAGAAACGTCCCTGTGAGACTCTTTTCTCCAAATAACCACTCAAAAGCCAGAAGTGGTGCATAGCTCAAAGTGATAGAGCACTAGCCTTGAGCAAAAGAGCTCAAGGATAGCTCCCAGGTCATGAGTTCAAGCCCGACATCTGACCAAAAGAAAAAAAAAGCCCAAAGAAACTGAAAGATATGTTCCCTGTTACAAGGTTTGAGTCCTTACCCCATTCCTGGGCTTTCTCTAAAGATGGCTGCAAGTCCTGTGGAAGGAACAATGGATCTCAGAGTGCACTAGTAGGCGTCACGTGAACAACCCTGCTTTCTGGGATGTTATGGGAACAGAACTCATCATTTCAACTTGGAGGTTAGAAGTGAGGGCAGAGTAGGGAGCTGTGAAATTAGGAAAACCAGATGGATCTTGCAGAGATGGAGTACAGGTCATGGTTTCTATAGGTCAGTTAAGAGGCACTTGAGAGCGCTGAGAGGCTGGGGAGGTGGGCTGGGCTGGATAAGGCTGCCTGCAAACTCCAGGCCTTTTTTGTGCCAGTCCTGGTGCTTAAACTCAGGGCCTGGGTGCTGTCCCTGAGCTGTTCTGCTCAAGGCTAGCTCTCTAGCGCTTGAGCACCGGCTCCACTTCTGGCTTTTTTTTTTTTAAAGTTATTTGGAGATAAGAATCTCACAGACTTTCTGTCTGGGCTGGCTTGGAACTGCAGTTCTTAGATCTCAGCCTCTTGAGTATCTAGGATTGCAGGTGTGAGCCACTGGCGCTCAGCCTGGGTATTCTTAATACCTTAGTTTCCAGTTTGCTGCCAGAGAAGTCCAGGAGCATGAATTAAACATAATCTATGGTTCCCCCTTCTTGGCCTATAGGCTGAGCTGTCAGGGAGCTCAGAGAAGAAGAAAAGGGGGATGAGAGCAAGAGATAAGAAAATGAGCAGAACATGCAGGCTGTTCTCCAAGTATATTGGTCCTTTGTTGGGGCTCAGGGCAAAGGCAGAGATGAGACTATACATGGTATCTGCAGAAACAGCACCTGGAAGAGCCAGGGTTGGGGCTGGTCAGAGTGGCCATCAAGGGGACACAAGACTATGGAAGTGGCAGGTGTGTAAAGGTGAAGTTGAATACTAGGCTGACTGGAAGTTTGGTGGCAGTTTCAATGAGAAATGCCAGGGGTGTGGACAGAAGCTCATTGTGTATGGTGCCAGGCATACCCTGAGTATTCAATTACACCTGTTCTAAGAATGGAAGAATGAATGTGTGTCAACATTCATCAACCAACATCAAGTTAGTTGTTTGTTTATATGTTAGGCATTTTAAAACACAATTCCTAGCAGTCATATAAATAGTGCATTACCAATGTGTTGTTATCTAGAACTTTGTTCAAGGTTAGGTAGGTAACCAGCCATAATAGGAATCCAGGTCACTAACTTCAAGACGTTCCAGGAAGTCATTTGTAATTTCTTGAACCCCACCTACCATACTCAAATATACCTTACCCTCCCAGGAGATTGTTAGGTCTGCTCAGCCCCAGAGACAATATATTAGTTTCTTGTTGCAGTTATAATGAATTACCTACCACAAAGCTTGTGGCTTAAAAACCAGTTATACTAGATGTGGTTGTGTATACTTGTAATCACAGCCTGGACTGATCAGAGTTCAAGATCTGCTTGAGCTGCAAAAGGAGACCTTGTGTCAAAAAAAAAAAAGAAGAAGAAGGAAGAAAGAAAGAAAAAACAGGCTGGGAATATGACTTAGTGGTAGAGTGCCTAGCCTGCATGAAGCCTTGGATTTGATTCCCCAGTACCACATAAATGGAAAAAGCTGGAAGTGTTGCTGTGGCTCAAGTGGTAGAGTACTAGCTTTAAGCAAAGGAAACTCAGGGATTGTGCCCCAGTCCTAAGTTCAAGCTCCAAGACTGGCCAAAAACAAAACAAAAAACAGGTAAGCCTGTGGTGTGGTACAAGCCTGTAATATGAACTATGCCTCTACGCAGGTACTTGGGAAACTGAGAAAGGAGTATTTCAAATTCAAGACAAGCCTGCGCAATTTAGTTAGACCAACCTGGTCTCAAAGGTTAAAAAAAAAAAAAGCCAGCTGCTGTAATCCTAGCTACTTGAGCGGCTTTTGAGCAGCTTGAGGTTGGGAGGGTGGCAGTTCAATGCTATCCCAAGCTTATATTCAAGACCCTTTCTCAATAGCTGAGAGGGTGCAGGTGCACTTGTACCTATGACTCCAGCAACATGGGAGGTTGAGATTGGGAGGGCACTTCCAGGCTAGTCTAAGCCATAAAAAGAAAAAAAAATGTTCTGGAGATTCCATTGCAACAGAAGCAGCTAGATGTGGTGAACACACGTGTCACCTTAGCTACAGTGGGAAGTGTAAAATAGACCTTGGTCTATTGTCCACACAAGCTCAGGCAAAAAAGTAAGACTGTCTCAAAATAACCACATAAGGACTAGAGGAACGACCAGCCAACAGAGTGATTGCCTAGCAAACATGAGGTCCTGTGTTCAAACCCTCCTACCTCAAGCTCCCCCAAAACCCAGTTATCAGCTGGGTGCTGGTGACTCACACCTGTAATCCTATCTACTCAAGAGGCTGAGATCTGAGGATCATGGTTTAAAGCCAGCCTGGGCAGGAAAGTCTGTGAGACTCCTATCTCCAGTAAACTACCAGAAAACTGGAAGTGGCACAGTGGCTCAAGTGGTAGAGCGCTTGCCTTGAGCTGAAGAGCTGGGTGACAGCGCCCAGGCCTAGAATTCAAGCTCCTTGACCAACAAAACAATAACAACAACAATAAAAACCCAGTTATCTAACAGTTCCTGAG